TTTTTTTTTGGGTGCTTTTTACTATCTACTCAAAACGATCTTTTAGTCATTTTGATGGGATGGTCTGTACGCGTGTAAAATTACATCTTTAGACTACCAAACAAAACCGTAAGACAGAACTTCACTCTATTGCAAAGTTTATTCTTTCCCCCTGAGACTGCCAGGCGCCACACGTCCCTGACCCCGTCCTGACAAAAACACTGCGGCCCACGTTTCACCGTGTGTCAGCACAAACTGTAATCTGGCTGCACATTGACAAAACCCCCCTGAATAAACTCTGTAAAGAAGCGTGAAATCCTTAGCCCGGACATATCCACGGTGAGAGTAAATGTACTGCCATCTTGTGGCAATTTTATTTCACAATTTTTATCTTTTTTATACAAACGTTGAACAAGCTATAGGAAAGGTCAGTAGGCTACAGAAAATATGTTATTTACATTTAATGCACAGAATCATTCTCAGATATTCAGATTACACCCGCATTAGTTCTGCCTGTTTTGAGCTCATTAAGGGATGCAGTGTTTTAGGGCTACGTCACCATTATGCAAATGAACTGGCCGAGCCTTTCTAACTACATTAGTACCTCAGACACGTGAAAATGGCTACAAGCAGATGAACAGTGGTACAACCTTACATCTTTGACCCAGAAGCAGAGCCAGAAGCACAATAATTCAGCACAAGAATATTTTTTTCCGCAAATGGAAACTTTTTTATTTATTTATTTTAATATTCACGAGGTTTTAGGAGGAGCGCTTCTCTCAATATAAAAAAAATACAAATAAAAAACTCAGACAATACCGGTAATGTGCGGGTGTCTGACATGTTTTCAAAAACACTGACTGTCACTGAAGCCAATCACTTCCAGTTTATTAGTAAATGTGAAGATGTGTGTTGTTGTTTTTTTATTTCTTTTTTGCCCCCCTGTTTCTAAAAGCAGGAAATTTCCATGTGGTAGTACAGAAACAAAAAGAAAAGTGATTTATTTATTTATTTTTTTAATAAATAAATATTACATTATTGACTGAGTTTGAGATCTGCTATTATGGTCAGTGATTTCTTTGGCCTTAAAAATACTTAAATTTGTATATAAGCCTATAGGCTAATATGCAAATTTAAGCCTATAGGCAGAATTATAATAACTGAATTATAATAGACAAAATTTCTGCAGATTACAAAACACTAATCAGAAAGACAAAGACAGGCTCCCTAAACATATATTCATTTAGCAAATGTCTCTCTCTCTCTCTCTCTCTCTATATATATATATATATATATATATATATATATATATATATATATATGTATATATATATATATATATTTTTTTTTTTTTTCTTTTTTAAACTAAAAAAATAAAATAAACTAGTAGCATACACTGTTCTATACAGTGTATGCTACTGGGTGTGTAGTGGTGAGATCCTGGCTTTAATGAGCTACTTCAAGACACAAACTGTAATAATAATGGCTTTTTACTTGTGATGCGATTTCTCTGCTCTGAAGGAAAACAGCTGTGACGAGGCTGTTTGTGTCTCGGAGCACCAGCCACACCCTCCTCCTCCTCTTCCTCCTCCTCTTTTTCCTCGGTGTGCAGCAGCAGCAGCAGCAGCAGGAGGAGGAGGACCAGAGGAAGCATGATGCGATACATCCTTACTCTTTTGGCGCTGCCAGCAGTCTGCAATGGCATCCTGCCTGAGATTGTAGAGTCAGGAATCAATCACATCGTGGAGGGTCCGTCGGAGCTGGACCGCATACTTGTGCAGGAGGATCCGCTGCAAAAGCCTGAGGATGCGTTTCCCCAGGTAGGTAGCTGGTTGCATCTCTCAGTCAGCATCTTACTGTCTGCATGACACGGCCTTATTTTTTGTGCTGCTTTAAGTGTGCTGTCACTTAGTTGGTAAAACGGTTGGAAATGAAAATATAAGAATTAGAAAACAAACTTGAGTCATCTATAGCTTGTGAAATTGCTATAACGTTTTGTTTTTTCAAAAGACTTTCTGTATCTTTCTCCGTCTAGACAAACAGCAGTGTCAGCCCTCATCACAGTGACCTTCCTCAGAGTCATCCCAACGAGACTGATAAGGTGGGTAAGGAGGAATCTGTGCACTCCTCAGCAGAACAGGCAGATCAGCTTCGAAACGGTAAACAAAACTCAGACACTGTTTACCTTCTAAATAAAACTTGTCAACTTTGCCCAGGGGACAAACAACATCCCTGCCACAGCTTTCCCAGTCAGTGACCTGGATAACAGTATCGACCATGTGAGCCTTTCTCATTCATTCTGCAGATTCAAAAGCTGTTGTTGGATTTCCCAGCAGTATAAATGTTGCATGACGTTTGGCACACTCTGACTCATCATTTTTGTCTGCAGTGCCATAAACCAATTGAGTACAAAACATTTCTTCTTTATTTGTTTATTTTTTAGCCATACAAGCATGTCAGTCCTTTGGATTAAAACATGAACTGTTTTATGGAGTCATTGTTATAGTGAGGGGAAAAAAATCCTGCTGTGATCTGAAAGTTTTGTTGTGATTCTGAACTAATTTGATCAACTTCCCAGCAGAATAAAACACGTAAATTTTATATTCAGATTTTATACTCAAACTTGGCCGATACATTTTATGAGGTGTGGACATGCTTGCAAGAATATTTTTGCTATTTTTATTTTTTTTTATTTTATTTTATTTTTTTTCTTGGAGCTGAGTCATGGTTTGGAAAACGTAATCAGTGCAAGAGTAAGGTTTGCAGATTAACATCTCAAATCTTCAGCCTCTTGAATACAATGACAAATATCCTGGAGCTGCAAAAGGTCAAACATTCATCTCTTGTTCATTTTTTCTCTGCAGGGATGTGTGACTAACGACGATTGTGGAAAAGGAAAGTATTGCCTCTCTGACACTCATAGGTCCAAGTGTAAGCCATGTAAAGACACTGATGTGGTAAGTGGTGGAATGTTGCCTTTGTTTTTGGTCCGACTTCTATAACATTTTTTGCCATCATCCTTCATCTTGCCCTTATCATATTAAGACTGGAAATATTTAGTAATGATCTAATTCTAACTCAGTGGGGTTATCGTTTTCATCACAATCTTTCAGGATGCTGGGAGTTTCTCACACACTGCAATGCAGCTAAGTCCACAAGTGTAATTGGAGTGTGTCGTTTTGTGAGCAGTCTGTCTTGTTAGCTTCACATGAAAGGACAGGCCGAGTCAAGGTTGAACAAGAGCTCATCACTTTTATCTGCTTGGCAGAAACGTTTCAATTACTTTCATCTGAGCATTTTGGTCCCAACTTGGAGATCTGGTCTCGTCATTTTAGGTGCAGCAGAATAAAAGGCAAATGGGAAGAAAGCAGGCTGGCAGTCGGCCAACCACAGGTGCAGCGTGAAAGGATTATAAACACACGGGGGACATGATCTGTATCCTCTTCAGGTTGCTGCACTGTGCAGCTTCGTGTAGCTATAACCAGGATATTGATGAGCCTGTTCTATATGAGCCGTTATAAGAGCGTGGGACTAAAAAAACTCCCTTCACTTTCAAACTGTACTGCAGATTTCATTCATTATTAATTAAACAAAGCCAGCAGTCGTCACGGTTCAAGAGTCATTGAAAATAATGCTGCCGTGAGGGTTCAGCTCTGGTAAAACTTTATGCACATGTCCTTGTATCGCTTTTCTGTGACTATTTTAGGACAGCGGAGTTCATTATTTATCATTTAATCTTTAATATATGCGTCAAAAATCTCAAGAAAAGCAAATGTTCTCTCTCTCAGTCTTGCACTAAAGATGACGAGTGCTGCGGCGACCAGATGTGCGTGTGGGGTCAGTGCAGCAAAAATGCTACCAAAGGAGAAGCTGGCAGCACTTGTCAAGTCCAGAACGATTGTCAGCCAGATCTCTGCTGTGCAATTCATAAAGGTACAACACATCGTGCAAAATAAGTTACTGTGCATGATCTCAGTTGACAAAAAAAACCAAAAAAACATTTCCTGTTTTGCAGCCTTGCTTTTCCCCGTTTGTTCGGTCAAACCGATTGAACGTGAACGCTGTTTTGATATCTCCAACAACCTGATGGAGCTGCTGTCCTGGGACATGCAGGATAACAAACCCAGGAAACACTGTCCGTGTGCGGGAGAGCTTCAGTGCCAGCACCTCGGGTGAGTGCAGCGCCTTTTTCTCTGTGATGGTACACGTATTACACCGACATTCATTCCGAGTTTCTCCTTCCTTACTGTTTGACAGGCGTGGATCCATGTGCCTGAAAGCAGAGGACTCGAGCGAAGAGGACCTGACAGACTCTCTGTACTCAGAAATTGACTACATTCTCTAGACAAAGCTTGACTGACTGTACACTCTCTCTCTCTCTTAAAGCAGCATGAAACGTCTTCCCACTGTCTTTTTGCCAGCTTAATCCAAAGTTGTAAAGCTCCAAAAGCTAATATAATGGACGCTAATAAGAGTTTCAATCACTGATTGTATTTATGTTTTTGTTTCTTTGAGTATTAAATGACATAAAGCTTTTATGCTGAATGTTGCTTAGGCTTCTGTCAGGATTCAACATTTAGTCACAGCTGGGTTCTCTGAAATGATGATACAATGAGGTTGTGTTGTTTCCCTCACTCCTTAGCTAAATGGCCCTAATGCTTTACATATACTACATTTTTTATTATTGGAAGGTGTTCATCTTATTTGGTTCTTTTTATTAATCATATGATTTTTGTTCTTTTTTTTTTTTTTTGCAAGAATTATAGGAACAGTTTGATGATCATTAAAGATTTTTCAGGCTTTGCTGACGCCTGAAAGATGGATATGGATAATTTCTAAACAGATTCAATCTTTTTTTAACCGACACTCATTTTAAACTGCTTGAATATGTTTCAAGAGATGCTTGTATCATTTATTTTCATACATTTGTTGAATGAAAATAACATGGATAATTCTGAGTTTGTGTTAAAAGATAGTCTTGCTAGGTATCCAGACAAAATCTACATGGTTCTTAAAGAAACATGCACCGATGGCTTTGTAGCTGCTTTTATGTTTGACCATATAAAGTTTTAGTTGTTAATAAAGCTTCTTTTCTAAATCCTGGTCCATCATATCTAAAGTTACGCATTTAAAAGCAATTCTTTTATTTTCTCCCACAGATCAACTGGACGACATTATGACTCCGCTTCTTTATGGGGTTCATGCATTGTTGCTTTGAAATAAAAAAAAATAATCTCATATACACTTTAGAAGCATCGTTATCAGCATCTATTGTTTGTGAATGCAGCAGTTTGTGATCCAATTAGAGTTTTGCTCTGCTCTTAGTCAAACTTGTTGCTCTGGCTGTAGAATAAAAAAAAAAATATATATATATATATAAATAAATCCAAAGCCCCTTTTGTGAGTAAGCTATTTTTGATGATCACCGTCAAGAAGTCTTTTTCTTTTTAATCAAAAAAAGCATTTTTAATTTATTTCTAAAATCATCTTTAACTATTTTCACACATGATCTCAAATTCCAAAGAAATAAACAACAGAGAAAAAAAAGGGAAATCCTCCGACGTTGGCGTTTCTACAGTGAAGAGCTGGTGACAACCTCAGGGAAACCAGGGCTGCTGAGTTTAAGTTCACAGAGCCTTAACCCGGGGAAGAGGAGGAGGAGTCCAGCAGGCTGTGTGCGCCCTCTGGTGTCAAGTCTATCAAGCAGCAGCAGCAGCCAGTCGAAGCGCCAAAAAAACCTCAAACAAACCTCATGTCCCCCCCTCCCCACTCCATGACAAAAACCCAGAGAGAACCCCCACCAGACAGGACAACCACCCCCACTCACACGACAGGATGATCCATGCTGTGGACGTCCAGCCCACAAAGTGCAAAAACAAAGCAAAAAAAGAAAAAAAGACAACAAATAGATTCTCTACAAATATAATGAACACACAGCAGATGTGAGACTCGCTAAAGACCCAACAGCAGCGATTAGGTCTGAAGCAAATTAATAACTTACAAACAGAAGAAAATTCTTAACAAAAAACTACTTGGTTTTTGCTTCATTGTATTTTATGACAGAAAGGACCAACATCCTATGAAATCACTACATGAAGTGAAAATGCTGCGTTAGATGCAAAGCAGCCCATAACAACACATAATGAGGGTGTTACAGGAGCACGACGTTTTGCTTCTAGACTCATCAAATTCTGTGAACCAATTTTTTTTTTTTTCTTCAAAGTTACAGAGAAAGCAAGGTTCCACCAGAGGAGATGTGGAGGAGGTGGGAAAAGGTCAGGAGGTCTCGGCTGTCAAAAGCATTCAGAAGACGGTGAGTAACTGAGGACGAGCAGTGGTCAAACGGCATGAGAACATTACGAGACGCGTATGAGCAAGAATCACCGTCGTCCGGAACAGAGAGATGAACACAGAATGACAGAGTTTGATTTCAGAAGACTCGCAAAGACGGGATGGATGACTTCCCAGCTGGCTTCACCGCCCTAGCCTCTCCACATCCGTTTCATGTGATTTGTCGATACAGTGCTCGATTCTTCTCTCTAAAATTAGCTTTTGAACTTCCCTTTAGACTTTACAGTACATTACACTATAGTACACATCAAGGGCTCTGGACAGCAGTGGGGCTCCGAGCTCGGGCTGTGAGGAAAACGCTCCTCACAACGCCGCTTTCGTTTCAAGTCACTGTCGTGTCAAAGTCCAGACGCCTGGCGGTTACGCCCGCAGCGGCCGGGCGGTCTAAACGGCCCAGAGTGGTTTGTGCGGGCCTCAGTCCTGCCCCGGGTCCCTCACGGGGCCGCCGTCCAGGTAGATCTTGAGGGCCTTCTCTTTGCGCGGCGAGTAGCTGACGCGGTGTCCCGTCTTCAGCAGGCGGCTGCTTTCCTTCTTCATCAGCTCGTTGCGCTCGTCCTCCGACAGCTCCAGAGGTTCGTCTCTGCTGTCCCTGCACCGACAGAGACGGCGCACGTGATTTAAGTCCACCGTGAAAAGCCATAATCTTAATTTTGTAAATACGTTTAATGAAACGATACATAAAAAGCCAGTTTCAAACGTGTATTACATTTAGTTTGAGTCTTCAAGCAAGTAACCCTATCAACCCAAATCGCTTAATAGGTGGCAGAACTCTACATCAGAATATCTAGCCAAGTATTAATCTCTTAATTATACTTACTACAAAACATTCCATATTTAGACATAAACAAAAGACTATAATGTTTACTAGTCTGTCCCGATTCAATGTGTTAACCTGAGGAAACAATCTAATTTTGAGACCCAAATATCTCATTCTGGATGTCAGCCTTTAAGAGTTTACGCTTAACCAGTGACGAACTTTAAATTTTGAGTTAAAACGCACCTCTTTAGCGTCTTATTATTTATTTACACATCACTCTCAAACGTTTGTAGTTTGTGGTCAGCTGTTCACTGTCTTTTTTGATAGGAATTGAATTAAAAGGTATAAATCGGTCGACATCAGAGACTGCGTAAACATGCTTCCATGTTATTGAAAAACGTACCTGTAGAAGACCACGGCTCCATCGTCACAGATGTACAGAGGCCACACATTGAGAGTCGAAACTTTTGGGTTCCAGTCCAAATCCTGATGGATTTCCAACACGGATATATCACATGGAAACGTTCCCCTGCCCTGCACAGCGGAGACATGCGGCTCGTGAATAAAACAAAAAAAACAAAAACAAAAAAAAAAAAAAAAAAAACACACGACATGAAGAATCAAGGTCTGAAATATCGAAATGCTCATACCTTTGCAAATTCCAAGTTCTCCATGGGAATACCACTCATTTCACTGAGCTGCAAAAGTGAAGAAGAAGAAGAAGAAGATGTTTACGATATCATCAATTAAGACAAAACTGTATCAAGTCACTACAATTGACAGAAAGCGATTCAGCAGAAAGAATCGAGCATTTTTATCTATCACTTAACATGTACAGGGAGAAAAATTAAAAATAAAAACAATTATATGAACATTGTACAAAAATTATAACATGAAAGTGAGGATGAGGCTACTACCATCAGCCAGCAGATGGCGACAACTGCACAAAGAAATCATGTCCAATGAAAATATTGATTTTTCTTTTTCAATTGACTTAATTGACTTAGCAGCCTTAAATTATTGTCAGAAACTGACTGCTGACATCTTGTACAAGAAAAAAAAAAAAAAAAAAGATAAACGATTAAAAGCCTTTTGGTCATAGCAGGGATGATCGAGTCTTTTGAGCAAAGTGTAAAAGTAACCGGGTGACAGAAATACCTTTTCCTTTAGTTCTTCCACGCTGCTGCTCTCCAGAATCGCTTCCTGGAAAGGTCCCAGCTTCATCGTAGCTGGGTTCCACTTCCGGGTCAGAATGGCCAGCTGCGACATGGACTTCATCTTCTCCGAGTCTGAGAATGAGCAAACGACGACTCAAACGCACATAACTCTGTACCAGCAGTGGGCCGGCTATCGGAGTCAAGTTATACTAAGGCTTTAAAAAGTTGATGCTTTGCAATATTGACAAAATAGACACATTGGTAGCAGAAATTTAAAGTGGGAAACATGGCGTGGAAACAACAGGAGGACCACATAGTACTCTTGTTAAAGTGAGGCGATTTTAAAATTGCAGCTGGAAAGCTTTGAGCAGCACTACTGCAATTAATCAGTAGAGCATTATAGGAGAAGTAGAAACAAAAAATTGCTCAGATTAAAATCATATACATTTTCATTTTTACCATACTGTGATATCTGTCACACCAACAGACTAATGCTAGCCCACGTCAATCTGAAGCTGACTAGGTATTTATTTCTAAACATGGATTTTACATTTTTATTACATAAAATGGTGAACACCGATCTGTTAGGGGTTTTAGTTTGATGTCTTTTCGTTATTTTACATTAAGAGTGCAGTGACTTTCTATTCATGGAAAGTCATCAAGATCTCATAAAACACAGTGGCTGCCTTTCCTTTAACACAAGTTATAAAATGCATTTCAACTTGTTTTAGAAAATCTGCCGAGCATTTTTTTTTTTTTTACCATCCAAGACTTCCAGGAAAACCTCCCAGTTTGAGGAAATGCTGATGTCTTCCTCGTAAACGTGGTAATCCAGAAACACCGTTCCTGGATTCTTCCACGTCTTTTTCCTGAGACGAACCCTGCCACACACAAATAAATGTATGAACTGTTTCGTACAATCTTTTTTTTTTTTTTTAAGAAAAACTTTAAATATGCCAAACTCATCGCCAGACTGATGTTACCTGTCGATGCCGAGGTCGAGCTTGCACTGCTCTTTTAACTGAGGAAGCAGCTCCTCTTTGGACTGTCTTACAGTCATGCCCTTAGCAAACACCGTTTCCACTAAAAACTTACAAGGCTGCAGAAAAAAAATATATTACTGAGCACCTGAATAAAAGACAAAGTGAACTGACACGAGACACTGCTGTCGCACAAGGGCAGCAGTTAAAATGGAGGCTGACAACTTTAAAGGCTTAGCGTAACGAATAGTTGAAAAGGAGGTGAGGAAATGCTGATCAAGCTGTTAATAAACCACATCAGGAGCTACGCCAACCAATCATGATGACATTTAATCATATCTTACCTCTGGTTCATTCACGAGCAGCTGGAACACTTTGACTCTGTATTCACCCTTTTTCAATGCTCTTCCCAGTCGAATGGTTATCTGAGCAGTCAAAGAGAAACTTCAATTAGAACCCAAAAGGCCTTTTTACACAAACTGCTCCCTCAGTCAGAAATACCCCGGGGCGGCTGGTCCTGACCTTGTTGTCGTCGGAAAACGACGAGAGCGTTTCGTTGAGCCGTACGCTCTCAAACTCCTGGTTGTTGGCGTAAACTCGAAACACCTTGAACTGGGACGACGGGACTCCGACGTAGGGCTCCAGGTTCTGCTTGAAGGCAGCCAACGTTATTCTCTTGTCCACGTGAAGCACTAAACCTGAGAGGAAACGTGGGAGAACATTTCAGACTAAAAATAATCTCTTCCATTGTTAACTTGAAGAACAAAAAAAAAAAAAAAAGAAAAATCACTAAGAGTTAGGGTCGGGCGAAAAAACGATTTTAGCAATTCATCAAATTTTTGGTTTTTGAAGATTGGAAAAATTAAGATCTATTTTTAAATCACAGTCAGAAGAGATGTTAGCACATTTTAATGCTTGTATTTATTTTACTTTTCGAGAATAGTCATAATATTACAACAATAAAGTCATATGACAAAGTTGAAATAATATGAGAATGAAGGGTTAATATTGGCTGAGTAAAATTGCAGTATTAGGAGAATGCAGTAATAATTTTAAGATAATTTCAACACGAAAAACAAAAATTAAAATGAGGAACGTTGAGAATCTTGGGAAGTTATAGTTTGGTATTGGACTGTAGAAAGAACCACACGAACTGAGCTGGTCACGCCACACCTTGGTAACTATTAAAGCTGCTTTCTCATTAAAACGAATCTTTTCCTAAAACTTTAAGACACTTTTTTATTAAAAATTGCATCTGTAGTCGACTAATATTATGACTGTATTCTCAAAATGTTAAAATTTTAATAATCAGCCCTATAACTCACAGAAGTGAGTTATAGGGTTATAGGGCTGAAATAAGAAATATTTTTCTTTCTGAAAATATTTTGTCATTTGTAATTTCTTTTTTAGACAAAAAAAAAAGATTAAAATTGTGAAATCTTCTTTCTAACAAAAGAAAGAAAAATATATTTTTAAGCCACATTGTCAAGCCTTACTAAGAGAACGTTCCTCTATTAAAGTCAATTTTAATTTTATTAAAATGCAAATAGAGAGTTAAAAAACGAAGGGTAAAAGCCGTTACATTTGTGTGTATCCCACGAAGCATCATCCTGAGAGTAAGGCTCTGCTCTGAAGTACAGGTACTGAGCTTCTGCCTTGCTCTTCCCGTTGTCGTCATACTCGCTGTCGGTCCCAGAGTCTTCCTCAGCAGTGTCCCAGGTCTCCTTCTTGCCCTCGTGGGCTTTGGAGCGTCGGCTGCTGGTGATGCTGTGTGAATCCAGGCCGTTGGCCAGCTGGATGGGGCCGCTGTCCGCGTTGCACAGTGTGTCGCTGCTGTGGCTGGAGCTCAGGATGTCGCTGTCCACTGAGCTCGTGCTACGGTCGTTGTTCACCTCAGAGTCTGAACGCTCCTCGCAAACAAACTGGTTCTCCGTGTCGGAGGAGCCGGATATCCGGTTCTCCAGCTCCCTGCTGTCTGCCGCCACGCACAGCGATGAGTTCGAGTCCGCCTCCTGCGTCGGCGACTCGATGTGCTCGAAGTCGCTGGTGTCGGAGCTTTTCTGGCTGTCGCTGGCGCTGGAGCCCTGCTGCTGCTGCTGCTGCTGAAGAGACAGGTTCTTCAACTTCTCCGTGCTCTCCTCCAGTATCGCTTCCACAGATTTCCTGTTGCCCTTCGATCCTTCGAAGGGACCGTCAGAGTCTTCTCCTGCTTTTTGACAAAGAGTTCTGCTGGCCAGGGTGCCAGGAGATTGCTCAGGCAGCAAGACAAACAGGCGGATCGTGTTCCCGTGGCGATCCAACAGTTTCCACAAGAGCGAGTCGGTGAAAGGAACCTGATGATCAGTCAACTCTGAGCTCTCCACAAAAACCTGGTGAAAGAGAATTTGACTAAGTGTTCCGAGTTTCAAACATTTACAATGCGAACATTAGAGGAGAAAAGAAGACCTTGTTACTCCTGAAGAAACCCTCGGCTTTTAGCGTCTTGTTTGGGACGTAGAGCAGCCTGAGGTCGTTGTAGCACCGCTCCAAGACCACGCGCATCGTTTCTGCAGACAGACCTGTAGCCTAACAACACACACACACACACACACAAGGTATTCACCTCTCATTCCACTGTCTCCCAGCCAATATACACTTAATATAGAGTTGGATCTCAATAATTAAGTTAGCAAAAATTTCTTTCAGTCAATGAAAAAGTAAAACTCAGATCATGGACTTGTTCTCTAGTTGGTTGACACTGATATCTTAAAAATTCAGGGTTTTTTTTTTTTTTTTTCATTGATCTGATGCCATTTTCATAATTTTTGAGTTCTCTTTAGCTGCAAGCCATATTCATCAAAATGTACAGAAATAAACACAAAGTACTTAATTTGATGTGTAATGAATGTTTTTGAATTTCCCATTTTCAACTGAAATATTGAGAACAACCAAATTTTAAGTGGTCATATAATTAATCGAGATGCACACGTACACAAGAAAAAAAACAAAATAATTTAAAAAATGGAAAAGATGAAGAAACCTGTGCTATAAGCTGTTTGAATTCAGTGATGGACTGGTTCAGGTACGCTCGCACGCTGATCGGAAGGGCGATGGTCTCGGTCTTCAGATCAACAACGTGGACCTTCACCATCACCTCTGTCGTCAAATAAGTAAAACAAAAAGACAAAATTCGAATAAAGAGACTGAGCCTTTAACCGTCCCTGCAGCCCCGCATTCACTTCCAAACATTTAAACGTCAGCAGATGGACTAACCTCCAGGTTTATACGGCTGGAAGACCTGATCAGGCCGGCGAGTCTCGAGGAGCAAATCGAACATGTACGAGGACTTGACGCCTCCAAGCAGGAGCCCCATGGGGGTGTCTTCCTCGCCTTCGTACGACCGCTCCAGATACTCATGGAACTCATCATACTTTACCAGGCGACAGCAGTCCAGAGGGACAACTCCTTCCAGCTCCATCAGCTGAAGAAGCACAGAAAAATAAAAGACAATATTAAAATTTCTGCTTAGTGATGGTCAAATGTAGAAGAGCAACAACTCAACCCGCCTTGTAGGCCATTTCTGTTGCTTCTCTGAGAGTTTTATCTTTATGAACCTCCAACTTGCTCTCCATCATCATTTTGACAGGATGCACACAGAAGAGCTTGATCTGAAAATCGGGATAAAAAGATCGTCAGCTTTTTGTGTAGCTAATGATGCGTTACTATAATTAATCCTTAGAAGTCGAACGTACTTATCGGAATCACAAAAATACCTTGCAAGTGTTTCGTTCGATTTCTCTCTGGCGCTTCTCTTGCTCTTCGGATTCCTTCTCCTTCTGAACCAAACTCTTTATGTGCTCTGGGAAATCTTCCACAGATAAAAACCCTGCAGACAAACACAACGCTACACATTAAACCTACTACCGACGTACAACCTCAGGACAAAATGTAAATGGCAAAGAACGAGGGCAGAGAAAATGACAACACACAGAATTTAATCATGTCGTATAATAAAATAGCCCATTTCTTTAAAGTTACAGCATTTTAAATTCAAGCAAATGAGCATGAGGCTTAGTTTTAGACAGAGTGAAAGCGAAACTCTTCCTGGAAGAAACCTCCCCCCATAGTGCTGCTCGGGTTAAGCAATTGACATTTAAAATACCCTTTTTCTGGGAAATATCAAAGAAATTCAGAAAAGCTTCTCCAGGTCTACAAAAACAATTGACCATAACATTATGAGCACTGACAGGCAAAGAGCAAATACACCAGCAACCATCGTCCTGATACACCATTAGATTTGAACGGCAAAAGCAGGAAGTTTGTTCCAAGCAACAAGAGAATCGTCTTCTTATTTTTGTGTTGAAAATGGAAAACTAAAAGAAGAAACACTGATAATTATCTTCACAAATCTTCCTAAATGATCTTAGTTTGCGATTATCAACATAGACGAAACGGGAAGCAAAACAAACAAACAAATGCAGAGGATGACCCTACAATGACACAAAAAACCGCATCATTATTGCTGCTGATTAATAAATTCTCCTCCTTCAGCAGATAAAACCACGAGTCCCTCAAACTGAACAAATGCTTCAAGTTTGAGAAACAAGACAAACTCCAAATTATCCGAACTACAATCCAACTGACCATTTGCACTGAATGCTACTGATGGAGGCCGGACTGATGAACTACAGGTGACTGGTGGTTCAAAACAACGTCACACCACAACCTCTTAAAACTCAAACGTCAAAAGGAGGAAGAGCTACAAAGTAAATGATACTATGATTGAATTAATCTGGTATAAAAATGTATAAATCCTGACCAAAATATGTGACGGGTCAAAATTTTGTTGGGATTTTCTCAAGCTGGCTGTGTTGTTCTCTTACTTGAATTCCTTGAGGGGTCTTTCAATCTGTAAATCAGCATGTAAGCGTTTGTGGAACTGTCGAGGGAGAGAGGGGAGAAGAAGATATCGTTTATACTAAATTCGGAAAACAAAATCTTGGAAATAGATGTAGTTAAAACATTACTCGTGTTAATTTTTTTTTTTTTTATCAAAGCTAAAATATAAGTCTTTAAATATGTGGTGTGGTATGTAGACAGAGGATAACTGACCTTGCAAAGGCACTGGAATAATAGCCTCTGCTCCCTGAGGACCCCCCATATGTCTTCCTGATATCATCCTGGGTGATCTATTGAAAAACAATGTACCAAAATTTAAAAAATATATATATACACATCATTATTTAATATATTTTTAAATATTTAATTTCCCTTTGGGATCAATAAAGTACTTTTTGAATTTAATTTAATTAAAAAAAAATATTCATAAATATGAAACAGTCATTTTTCTCAAGAGAGAGCAGAGATCTGCTAAGTCAGTAATGCATTAGTTTGCTACAGGGTAAAACAAAGGCACCTAGACGATGAGCCTGACCTTGCTAACATGCTGATCATTGAAACTGTACCACTGGCCATCACTGAAGGACTTGATGTAGGCGTAGTAGTGTCCACCCGCAGCGCTGCCCGAATGGACCATGACGGAGAACAACTCAAAGGTCAGCAAGCTCTGGGGAAGAACAGAGAAGTATTCTAATAAAAGCAACAATTCATTTGTAGAGTTCCACGTTACTACTACAGAAGCGTTACGCTCATGTCTGCTAGAGGACAGCAGCTCAAATGTTTAAATCGTTAATACACTGGGACAGCAAGTAGAGACTGGAGACGACATAAAAGAAGACGTCAACAAAAGCCCGATGCTCTCAACATGCTTGCTGGGAATGAAAAGACTCGAAATAAAAAAGTCTAAAGCTCTATTCGCTGATTTGCTTATTCTTTTAACTTGTATGCAACATAAAGCCCTTCATCAAACTCTGAAATCTATGGGCTCTTTTGTGTTTTTGAGGGAACTAATAAATCAGCATATTTCAACCATTTATAATATTTTACTCAGGAAACTCAAACATAAAGCACAAATGACATTTTAATCCCTTTGGATGTGCAAATGAAGAGTTTATTCTTGCATTTTCACTATATTGTGTGTGTGGCATGCAAAGCCGAAACAAAACAAGTTTAACTTCTGTGGTTAAGTTTATGTTTGTGGGTCAAAATGAGATTCTCACGCTATGAAAACCTCATGTAAAAAAAAAATGTTCGTATAACATTATCTTATTGTTTTTGTTGGTATTTTAAATGGTTTGTCACTTTGAAGCTCACCACCTTTAGCTTTAACGTTGCATTATCTAATTTAAAGTGATGCATGCCACCCAGTTTCCCACAATGACTGCCCATATTTTTTGCGATGAGAAACATTTTCTAAGAGCTCTTTTTGCTCTTTTTTGGATCCTTTGTCCAGCCTGCTGAGCAGGAGAATGCAGCAATAAGTAGGGGAGGGGAACGCTGCTCTACATTTCAAACAGTAATACTAAAAGTTCTTTAAATTTTAGGAATGTTACGACAGAAAATGTTTACCTCTTCCTAACACCTCAATATATCTTGACAGAAGTAACACTCTTAGTTTGTGGATGAAAACGGGCAACTTTAATAATATAATGCAGGATAAACAGCTGTACTAAAATAGACGCAAAGATGCAAGATTCCAGATGGCAGCATTTTCTCTAAATTAATCTTTTTAAATTAATCGTTTTATACTGAAATACTAAATAATGACTTTGGCTACAATCCCATCCTCCCAGACCTCCCAAGCCAAGCAGATAAAGGAGATATCTATTGAAAGACAAGAGAGATAGTTACCTTTGGCTTCAATGCCCTTTCTGTGCTACTGGTGCTGTCCAAGCAGATGCCCTCATCCACACAGTCATCAGTGGAAAAATCATTGCTCATTTGGTCACTGTGGCAACTGCCTTCATTCTCTGCTCCGCTATCAGTGCAGCTCTCTGTCTGAGGCGATTTCTAAAAAGAGACCAATTCAAAAAAAAAATGGGGGTTTAAAAAAAAAAAAAAAAAAAAGGCGAGTTTTTTTGTTTTTTTTTTCACCAGTATTTATGTGCTGGTGTTCTGGCTTAGAGAGACAAAACCAAAAGCACACAACAATGTGTTTAGCTAGATAAGACAGCAGCACTGTAAAAAGAGTTCAAGGCTCAAAAGGAAACACCAAAGCAGAGTGCTAGCCACGGTCCAAAGGTTGGCACGCACAAATCATTGTGGGATGGTTTAATAGACGTCTATGACAGGATATAAATCACAATCACTCTCATGTGGCCACAATCAGCTCTACCAGCCAAGGTTCAGAAAGAACATGGCGAAGCTGGAAGAGGTGCAAACTATACTTGCTATTGCACTTGTCTGAGGTTTCCACCTCCTGTAGCTCCAAATATTTTACCACATCACCATTAACCAGCGAGTAAATCTGACTTCAGAAGGTCCAATTTAGACTCCAGAGTTTCTATAGGCTAAACACCAGCAGCCCTCTCACAAAGGGAAAGACATTAAAATGAAAGGATTCCTTTCCAATTTCTTCCCGCCACAAGCGATATGAATATTTACTTTTTCAGTGCGACTCGCGGTGGAGATAATCTATTTCGTGAAAAATAAAAGTAGAAAAATTGGGTCATGCCAAGAGATGCACAAAATATCTTCGAATTACTGTTACATCACGTTCCTCATTACATGCGTCGAGGAAGTAATCACATTTTGGTTCATCACCATAATGTTCACGATGCTGAGGGGCCATTAATCTAATCTGAATCGTCGAGAGCGACGGCTGCTCTCACCTCGTCTTCCACATCGATGAACGGGCTCATGTCGAGCTCCTCTGGGAAAGTCATGCGGTCGTTAAGCTTGATGCGATGCATAGTGGTGTAGTCAAAATCAAACCTTTTCAGCTGCAGCGTCAGCAGGTAGGGGAAGTGCAGAAACCTCAGACCCTGGGTTAAAAAAAAAAAAAAAAGCATCAGACGAGCTCAGCTGCAGAACACTGTATTCCTTCCCATCACCGCTTCACCTTTTCACTTTGCTCACCTTTCGGGCATCACATTTCTTTTTGCAGCGCTCACAGAAGTACTGGTTGGGGCCGTCCAAGGTTTCTGGCTGGATGAATGCCTGCAAAGCTTCTTCCTGCAACAGCATAAGAATTGCATCGTTTTAAATTGAGATTAAAGTTGAAAAATTAGAAGGTTATGAAAGGTTAAGTAGCAGAAGTATCTGGAGTGTTGACAAGAAAAACCCACCACACTTCCGTAGGCCTGACTGGCTCCAAAGGGTCTGATCACAAGAGGGATGTCCAGGTAAGTGTCGATTCTCCAGCTCTCATATCCACACTCTAAACAACGCACATAATCCTTCAGCTTTCCCTGGTACAGCTGGTTGATCAGATCAGCCTGAGGATATGCAGAGGCATTATTTCTCCCAAACAATATTAATCTCCGAGCTACATTATAATGCAAAGAAAAGGACAACACTGACGTGTGAAGAAGTAGCCTGATGGATTTGAAGAACACATTGACCAAATTAACTCGGAACATAAAACACTTGGTTTGTACACACTTGGTGTGATAACCTTTCGTAAAAAGGTTACATGAAATCTTGGAATTTACACAAAAGTTTAACAAATGTCACACAAATAATGCATATTATCCAGCTGCTTTCAATTTAAAAACAGAAAACTAATAGTTACCCCTACTGCTGCTTAGATGTCATAAACTAAGTATTACAGTTGAAGCTATTATTTAACACACTTATTTGCTACTTTGATTTTGATAAACTCAATAAAAAAAATAAATAATAAATAAATGTAGTAATGGCTTTCAAGGTCTTTTTCTGTTCCACAATTTATACAGTAACAAAAGTAAAACAAGTTCATATCGGCCAATTATTTATTTATTTTATCTGCTCAGATAATCGGCGTGCAGAAAACTGCTGAACAAGCACGCCGCTTGCAGCTCGCCGACTATAAGTTTAAAAGAGCGTTACCCAACCGAGGGTAAAGTTTCCACATCCCAACTTTTTGCAACTGGAAATATTTTTGAAACACCTGAATTTCTCTCTCTCATGAGTGAGGGAAGAAATGTTGAAGCTCTCTTTCAGACAGCTGACCAGCAGTTCCTCAATACAACCAGAACTACAGTCAGTCCAGCACTTTATTACCATGGGGTGATGCAACACAAACTCGCCTGTTTGGAAATACTCCCAGTAGCAAAAAAAAAAAAAAACAGAAGCAGTCATTGTGGAGAAAACTAAATAATCCCTATTTATGTCTTTTATTAAGGGCAGCCAGACGCAGCCTGGCTACTTGAGCAGATAGCCCAACTAACTGATGAGCTGATGTCAGCTTGTTATGCTTGTGTTATTTATAAAGAGCAGAGAGACACATAAGCTCCTCAAACGTATTTCTAAATAATTGTGTTTTAGTCCTAGTATTAAAATCAAAACAAATGTTGGAAACAACAAATCTAACCATCCTTATTTGATAAAAATGTAATGCACAATTAATAACTGATATTTTTCTGGTGTTACAGTTCTTCATTTTAACTTTTTTGGTTGACATTGTGTAACTGTGGTGTCTTGATTCCCAACAAGATTATCTGCTGATGTAATCATAAATTAGCTGTAAAGAAGTATTACACCATTCCCCCCCCCCCAACACCAAGAAACAAACAAGGCTGTAAATCATAAAATCTCTGTATAGATTGGCATTATAAACTACTTCTCAGTTCTGCAATCTGTCTATTCTCTTTTTCTGTTATAAAAGAGTTACTTCATGGCATGTCTGTTTATTCCCACATCAGCCTATGTGCTGCTGCAATACTCGGCATGTCCAGACTATAAACAAAAGCCCAAACCCAGGGATTGTTTGCCAGTTGCGATTTTTCCATAGTTTATTTTGAATCTAAGGTCTGGAGCTGTTGGCTTCGTGTTTTGCTAACAACAATTGAGTAAACACTCTCCTACCTGTTCTGTCTGCTTCCACTTCTGCTCCAGGGCATCGAACATGACCCTGCACAGTTCCTGGACGTCATGCTGCTGCCAGGCTGAAAAACAAATCCATTAAAAAAAAAAAAAAAAAAAAAAAGGATATTTAAGTCTGGAGCGCGAGAAGCACATGTTCTTTCACTTGCAAACCAACACGTGATTAAAGTCACACGGGGGCACAAAAACTCACCCTCACTGCTATCCCACCCGAAGCTCCGAGTTACATCAGTCGTCTCAATCGCCCGCTTCTTACTGGTCTGCAGCAGAACAAAGAGCCTTTGCAGCTGGTAGGGGATGCTGGTGACGGGATCCTCCTCGGATTCCTCAAACTCCCAACTAAAGTTGAACAGATGTGAAAGGTTTTAAGCTCTGTGTCTCGCTAGCTACATAAAAAAAAAAACAGATCAAACCATAGTTCCTTACTTGTAGAGTGCATTTCTAAACTCAGGAGTCATAAACAGTGTTTGGAGGAGACTGTTCAGATAGCAGGTCATTGCTTGGTTAACCAACCCAACATAACCTGAGGGTGGACAAAGAGATAAAAGACGATACGTGCGACAAGTCATGAACGAAACATTTTAGACCTTTGCCAGATGCCAACACTTACCGGTCTCAGATTTGCTGAGGATGGATGAGTAGGAGTACGACGGACTGCTGTAGTCACCGCTGCCGCCCGCGCTGCCGTCTCTTTGCAGGGGGCCGATAAACCGCTCCTGGGAACTGTCATCCAGCCCGCTGCTATCTGCTGTTCCTGACTCATCCTAATAGCACAAATGCCATGGAAATTTAAGAAAATAAAACTCGAACTGGGAAGCAAGTTCACAGCCTTTCCAATTTAAATAAATAAATCACACTAAAAAGACGCAACACTATGAATATCTTTTATTTTAACCGCTTACCGATGCAATCTGTGGTTGCTCTCCATCTTTATCTGTAAGCTGGAGAAAATTCTTCTTACCGCCGGGCTCAAAGCTAGAATCAGAGAGGGACATCTCACTGTTGTGCTCCAGCGGTGCCTTGAGGGAAGGAAGTGAAACAAAAAACCCAAGTTAATAAATCCAACACTAAACGGTCTTTTACAAGCTTAATAAATAGCACACTTACAGTGGTCAGACTTCCTTTAAATTCATTTCCTACAAACTTCCTGTCTTGATGTGAGCAAAGGAAGCAGTTTGGAGCAAACATGTGAGGAGCACTAACGAGCAGTCTTCGAGAAGACGAGCTGAGGATGAGCGAGCAAGTGCAGCAGCAGAGGCAGTGGCTTAATCCACTGACCTACTCAGTGAGATAACAACAGGCACAGCGCTTGGGCTTTGGCCTGGGTCAGCAACAGGATTAGCTTGGGCTCATTTAAGAAAAGGTAATATAATGTACAGAAAACAACTGAACACTCTCTTCACCGACGCAGAACCTTGACTGTGTTTTGTTTTATAATTTAAGTATTTAAGTAAGTTATTTCCACAGCTTACTTGGGACTTTTTAAAAGATGAATTTTTGTAGCAGAGACCAGTACAAAGGCAAACTGAATTTTGTAACTTTAATGGCACGAAAGAAAATGAAAACATCCATTTGCAGTTTTGATGAGGTTATAATTTAGTGCCACTGACCAGATGGTCCAGATTATGTGTCATGAATAAAGTATTGCACATCAGGAGGCACAAACAGGCGAGAATCTCTATTATTCAGACCAAAATACTTTAAAAATACTGAGCATACTCAAATCTCCTAAGGTTAAAAATAAACCATGAATGACCCTGGTTATTTTTGATACAATCAGGTGAATAAGGCAGGGGGAAAAAAACATGCTTTATTTGCTGCAATTCCTAATTTGTTTTAGGATAAATAACTCAAAAAGCTTTGCAAAACTTTTTCAAAGTAAGTTGACGGTGAGCTACGCAAATGTGGCTCATTGTGCAACAAGCGATGTCAGGCAGGAAGCTGCAATAAAATCCTGTTACAGACAAACATTTAAGCATAGGGCTTACAAATAAAGTTAATAAAATTAATGAAATTCTTAAAATAAAAATTTTAAAATGTATTCAATTTTCCAGTCTCAGTATGAAAATCCCTTTGCTTGTGGTCTGTATTGATGTGCACAACAAAGCAGTGTAATCTGACTTTTTATATTAAATCCTAAAATTTTCCAGGAGTTTCATGATCTGCTTTAAGGCAGATGTGGAGCTCTTATGTAAAGGATGGGTGAGGGGTGGAGCTCCTACGTGTGATGCCATGCTGCAGTGGGTGTGTAGTGTCAGTTTTCCATGATATCACCACCTTAAATTATTAACATAGTGTGTGGATTGTTTCTGGATTCTTCACAATCTTGACCAGCTCACCCATACCAACAGCAAAATAACACTGTGTTTAGAGGAGGTTCCACTGATGCTGCCTGGCAATGTTAAAAGATCAACAACAGGCAGGTTTAAGAGACAAGTTGGAAAAACAGCCACACATTGAGACGATTAAGATTTATTATGGGTCATATCAATAGATCAGCTTTTCCACAGCTAAAGATGACTTACTAATTACAGCGTCTGTGTATTCTTGATGAAAGCTGTTGTTTCATTTCGCCTCGCTAAGCGTTTGCACTTGTGTTGAGAAAAGTTATTCTTGTGCAAGAGCTGATGTTTTGGTGGTGGAAACACAAACAACTGATACTCAGAAAGCTCTAGCACCAGTTTAGCAAAGGAAAGCTTGGTTGAAACTCCTCCCCCACATTTATGTATCACACTGTCACGCACCAGGTGTTATAAAAATCATCTGATGCGTCTCACCATGTTCTGAGCGTTCCCCCAGGCAAGGTCAAAAGAGCCATTCACATATCCGGCCTTATGGGCAACGTCCTCGTAAAGTTTGGAGAGAGTGGTGGAAGCGGGCAGGTTGAGGGTCAGCCTCTCGTTGACCGTCTTCGCGCTGGTCGTGTCCTGAATTATGCACAGCACTCTGGGCTCCTCAGCTGCATTATGTATCTGAAAATCAAACAGAACTGTAGTTTTTATACTCCCTGTAGCCTTTCTGGCATTGTATAGGACAGGTTAATTCATCAAAACGGCATCCAAAATGTTATGAAACATTCCAGCGCAAGAAGAACTTCCTGCCAGGACAGCAAGCGATACTTCTGGGTATAACACAACCGCTGACTCATGCTCGATTCTGCTGTAAAACGCACACTGTAATTTGTTTTTCAAGTGGAACAGGTGTTTCAAGAGGAAACCAGTTGCACTGCTGACAAAACATCTTGCGTTGCTTTAATATTTTGTCGTGGCAAACTCAGGTGATTTAAAGTCTAAAGACAAGAGACAAAATCTCTCAGCCAACATGCAAAGAATTGACAAGACTTTAATTTTCCTTTATGGACAATAGAGCGCTAATCGAATATTTACCTTTTTTTTTTTTTTTTATCTGAGTGGATTTATTTAAACTAAAGGGACCAAACCAAACACAACATAAATTCAAGTCAAATCTTTAACCTGTAGGCCTGTCACAATAAATTTTGTCATAATTTATTGCAATAAATGATAATATTGTCATTTTGAGACCATTTTCACAAAATATAATAAAAATAATAGTAGAATATTAATACAAATACATCCTCCTAAAATTAAAAAAAAACTAATTTCTAAAGAATATTTAATCCTGGAAGTGGAAAACATTTAAATATCTAAAACAAAGTAAGAAAATAACCGAAACAACAATAATTAAAATGTATTATGTAACCAAAATTGTGTTTCAAAATATATCATTCATTCAGCTTAGAGAGAGAAAACAGGCAAAATGTCAGGTAGGACTTTTGGATAAACAAAAAAGTCCAAACTAACTGCTTTATACTGGGTGTAAAATGTTTGCAGCATTTTTCAAAATGCTAGCTTTCCAATGAAATTTAAGGGGAGCAACTCGTTTATGATTCTTGTCCAAGTGGAAATTATCAGGCTCATTTTAATTTATCATGCAAATAATTGACTTATTGCTTATCGCGACAAGCTTACTAACCTGATCCTGAAATATTTGTTTATAAGTTTCCAGCAGGATATATATATAGTAACATTTGTGAACCACTAACAGTAGTAATACTTAGCAACAATAAACTGCAAGGGTGACCTGGCTGTAAATGTGTTTCAAATCCAAATTTTAAGATGCACTATTCTTTTCCTTGCTAATTTGTTTCTAATAATTGATGAATTAGTGCTGACTAAAACCGATTCTTTCCTTCGTTTGAACAACTGTTTAAATTTGACATACTTAATGCACTGCTGCATGCATCTGCTCGACACCATGCTGCATCACAGACCTGTGAAATCCTCTTTATTTCATCAATAACACTCTGTCTGCAACTCCAAAACAAGCCCTAATGACATGTGGACACAGTTGGGATTAAAAGCAATTGAATACATTTACAAGAAGCAGCACAAGATGGAAACACACCTTCCTGATTATGCTCAAAACAAACCAAGGCTAGACGTTGCAGATTTATAGGCTTACATTTACAAATAAATAAAGTGCTTAAATTATGTAAGGGTTGTAATTATGGGTATGTTCTCAAATCACTCCAGTTCTTCCTGTTCACTCTTTGTGGAGTTTGTGATCTTGGGAAAATGTGACTGACCGGTCCTATAAAGAAGCTGCTTCTGACAACACGCGGGTGTATTATCAGATTAAAAGTTATTTTTACCATGGATATAATCACAAGGTGCAGACATGAAACCGCAGCTAGCACAAAATACTGGCAGTGTTACAGACCTAAGAACTGAAATTATTCACTGCGATACCTCCATGAATGAACCCATATTGTGATGTTAAAAACATTGCAAAAATCCACAGGACTAAATATAATGAGCTTTATAACAATACCAGGTAAAATAATGTCAAATTTATAATTAAGTAACAGGTTCTTTCAACTATGTTAAGGAGAATCTGGGTGCTATCACCTAATTGTTCCTTCTTTTTTTTTTTTCAAATACTTAGTCATCTATGCATATTTAGGTTCATTTTAATTGTGTTAAACAGTAAAAGAGGCTAGCTCTAGTTGAACAAACAAAAAATGATCAGCAAAATTTTTATTATCAATTTGCCAAACAGCTCAGTATTATGGAAGGCCTGGAAGAAACCTGCCAAGTTTAACTAAGGAAGCATCTGCGGTGAATATTGTGTTTAAGCTGTTATTTGGCTCTTATAGTACGAGTAGCCACTCACTCGTTAAACCACCATGTCTAAAACACTTCTCTGTGTAAAAGAAGTATTCACTGAGAAGAATAGACATTACTTATTTACATTAAAACAGAACTTTTCTTAAATTTGCTAAAACTACCAATTCTGAGGTAAGAATCATGAGGTCTATAATAGAGATCCAAAAAAAAGACAGTTCTGAACAATGACTTTAAGAAAAACAAAGTCCTCTAATGAGGACTGGAAGCCACTTACGTGTTAGAAAAAAGTGAAACTCATTGTTTTTCTATAGGAAAAAGGAAGTGAACCTCAACCATTACAAAACAGTTGGACTTGACTACATCATAGATTTAAGAAAACTAATAGAAGGTCATTTGACGGAACAAAAGTTTTGTTTGTCAGGAATTGTGAAAGTTGAGCTGCGTTATCGTCTGCAGATATAGGTCAGATTTTGGTTCAGTGACAAAATCCATAAATTTCCATCATCAACTAACTATTTTTTTTAAATCAAGCTGAGATATTTCAGATAAACAACAACTTCCTGAATTTATTAATTAAACATCCTTTTTACACATGAATTTACCAGGATGGAGCACAACACATTGTCTTAATATAACATTACAATTATAGCATGAAATAGTCCAAAGATTTATGGCGTGAATGCTATAAAATGTTAATTCAACAAAATAGGAAAATCGAGACCTTATTTTAAACAATGAATCAGATTTTTTTTTACCCTTCATGTGTTTTCTGGTATTTGTTTACACTCTATAAACAGCAAGTATAATGTTTATTCAGATATATCTGATATGGGATTTATGATCCTGGCTTTATTATTTTAATTTGAACGTATTATTTAAATCTACAAACTACAAGACTTATATTTTTAAAAAGAACTTATGTGGATCTACTACTGTAACTAAAACCATTTTTTTATTCATATAATAACTTAAGCAAGTCAAAAATAACTTATGATACTAAAATAAGTTAAGAAATAAGTAGTTGATGGCTTTGCAGGGCAGGTTGAATGTACAGGAAAAGAAGTTAGTGGAAGAGGCAATAAATATATGAATTTATGCCATTCTTCAATGTGATTTAAAATCTAGCCTAGGATAAGGGGTATTTATACCCTTTTGAAGACTAAAACCTATAAGTTTTTTAAAGGCTGTGCAGAAACCCCGATTGCTAGCTACCAAAGCAAACAACATATTTTCCGGAACGCAGCATCAGCCATACTGAGTTAATTGGGAATATCAAAAAAGAAAAGGCACTTTATTTAGTACGCTCTCATCAAAACGGCGATATATTCGCCCCCATTTTTTTTAATATATATTTTGTGTAGGATTCTGAATTACATTTCTTAAACATTAAAGTTTAAAGTCTAAATAAGAAAACTTCTACTGGATACAAAATATGTCAACTGAGACTAAATGAAAGTGAGAACTTAAATAAAAGAGCACTACGAGCGTGTATGACGGCATTTCTTTAAGTACCACTTTCAAGTGATTTCGACTTGCATTTTTAATTAAAAACATAAAAGACGGTTGCTGCAATAAGTAAGATATAAAAGCTAACGACTTTAGCCACCTGCTAATGTTATGCAAGTTAGCTGACTAATGTTGACAAATTTGAAACTCCGTCTGAGCGGATAGCGTAATGTCAGCTACAGTATGTAATACGGTTAAACGTCTCTGACATTTATAAATCAAAATATTCAAGGTAGATAACACAATATCAGTTTTGCAAACGTTTTCGAATTCAATCGGTTTCAGCTGAAGCGAGATTAGCCGCTGTTAGCAGCAGCTAGCAGTGTCATGATATAGGCCGTTCAAGTCACGTCAAGCTAACTGTTAGCTGAGAGTTAGCCACAACCCGACACCCCAAGATCACAAACTCTTAAAGTGGTGTCAAAGTTGCCACATTATTCATGAGCATGGTCTGCAAAAGTAACAGATTTGCTCCAGAGGCTGACTCCACGAGCAGGTCAGAGTGCTGTAGTAACCCTCACCTCTTTGGGTACGAACTGGTTCTCCTCGCTAGGCACCATTTCCATTTGTACGACAGTTTAGACAATCATCTATCCGGACAGGGATGTCATCGAAAAAACTTTGCGGCGGAAAACACAAACATGGTTTGTGTTCGGTTTGCAGTAAGTTTGAATGCTTAGGCACCAAAATAAAACTTGGCCAAAAGTTGTAGGCTTATTAAAGTGATCGCAACACTCTCGGTTACATTACTCAAGCACAAAGTGTCCTGCTATAAATGGAGAAAAATGGCCGGTGTTTTTACTCCGCGAGACTTCACTGGAGGAGCTTTGGCGTCACATTCCATCCAGACAGGCGTGCGTGATGTATGCTGACAAGATGACGTTGGTGAATGCCTACAAGTGTGTGCGTTTTTTTTTTTTTTGTTTTTTTGTTTTTTTAGTTTATTGTAAATAATGCAAAAATTACATTTGCATTTGTGTTTTCCGTCATGGCAGGCTGATTAATCACACCATTGTCATATTTTCGTAATTAATCAATGCCATCCCGTTTAGTAAAATATTACTCGGAGTTTAAATGAAGAACTAGGTTTAATTTAAAAACAAAAAATAAACAAACAAACAAACACACACACAAAAAAAAAAAACAAGACAAAAATTAAAAAAAACATTTGATGTCAGCATTAGGCTGGTCATAATATTAAATTTTGTTGGAAAATAAATTGTTCCAGAAGTTATTGCGATAATATTGCTGTTTCGAGAGCCATTTCAAGTAATAAGGGCACAATAATGCAAAAGACACATTGTCAGAAATAAATAATATTTAACTTCTAACGGAGTTTTAACACTGGCACTGGAAGATATTTTAAATATCCAAAACAAACAAACAAAACAACAACAACAACAACAACAACAACAACAAATAAAATGAATTATTTAGTCTCCCTAAAGAAAAGGTCTAAGTGAGACCAAAACACCACACTGAAGATTTCCGTTTTCGGTAGAAAGAAAAAAAAAAGAGAAAAAAGATTCATTTATTGAGCTTGCTTTAATTTATTATGCTTTTTTTTTTTGCTTATTGCAACAGGCACGCTCACAACGTGGTAACAGTTTGCTGTAGTGACAACCCTCATGCTAACATTAGTCTTGTACCTAAAATAAGCATTAATTTTTGATTTATTATTATGTTTATCATATTGAATGGATTAAGTCCATGCAAATCAACATGCTACTGGCAGCATTTAAGCCAGCCTCAGCATTTTGGCTAATTTTAGCTTACACTAATATGAGCACATAATAGAGTAATTTGTTGTTAATCAACATGATGATAACCCACATCCTACTGCTAGAGTCAACATGCTATTCACTCTACATGCTAATGATTGCTCTCATGCTAACATTAGCTTTGTACATCAAATTTTAAGTTAGTCAACATGCTAGTGATAACCCTCATCCTTCTGGTGGCATCAACATGCTAGTAACTCAATATGCTAATGATAGCCCTCATGCTAAAATTAGCCTAGTAACTAAAATAAGCATTTTTGCTCATTTTTTATTTATTAGCTATGTTTATCATACTAAATGAAGCAAGTCAATGTAAGTCAACATGTTGGTGATACCTGACATTCTACTGACAGAATTCAAGCTAACCTTAGCATTTTAGCTAATTTTAGTTTATACATATTAATGCTAGCATACTGAAGGGAGTTAGTCCATGTTAGTCAATATAATAACGATATTCCACATGATATTAACTATTTTTTACTTGAACTTTCTATTGTGACAAATTTTCAGCGTTAGAATAGAACACTGGATTCCAACCGAAATGTTGAAACCCAGTGTTCGAAACACTGTGGCAGTGCAAAGGCAGGCCTCTTTTAAATTTCTTCCAAAATGTTCTGTTTTTTATTGTGATGCTAACACCCGACCCTTAGCAGAACTATTTTGGTTCTGATGGAGATCTGCTGCACAGACTTCACAAAGGGAAGTAATTTTAACGGTAGTGAAATAAGTACACACTCAAAAACACTGAACCCAAAATGAACACTGGGTTCATTGGACATTTTTTTGTTGTTTTTGTAGGGAAACTGGAGTGCCCAGAGATAACCCATATAAGAATAAAGAGAACAAACAGCACACTCACCATTTACTGTATTGCTCACCTCAGAGCAACAGGGATGGAGGTTTGATAACAGCACATTTCTCTGTGTTTGCCTGTTCTTTCTCCGTTTATTTGAGTTTATTTTTGGTGATCTCCCTACGTCGAAAAGAACAGTCATGTGGACTCTCGAGGCTGTTATATTGAATCTAGCATTTGTAGTGTATTTATTTAACTATCTAACCAGTTCAAGTGTTAAAAGGTGGACTCACTGGCCCAAAACAAAGACTTTCTGTTATAAGAAATGGAAACGATAATATAACTCAGTCCAGGGAGCAAGCAGACGAGATGAATTCACTGAACTAAGACAAATAAGATGAAATATATCACGGGGATTACATTTACATATTTACATTTATTGCTGCAAGTTTAAGACTGACAGCCATAAAACTGATTGAAACTGATTTCCAATTTAAAAATCAAGAGAAAGAAATTTATAAACAATCTCCATAATTGCTTAACCCTTGACCTTCATGTTTTGACACCTTTTGAGTGCTTAGATGGGGTAAAAAGAGGATAGACGGACAATTTTATCCAAAAATATAACATTTTTGCAAGTATAGGAAGGTCACTGATAGTAGAAATAAAAAAGGAAAGCCTTTTTTTTTTTTTTTACCAACAAACGTTTATCAAAAATTTATCAAGTTAACTTTACACACCTGAAACCAGCATAAATTCATCCCAAAGAAATAAAGTACTGACAAAACAGTTTGACATGATTGTTTATTTAGTTTACTTTTTTCAGAATTGATCATTTCTGATGATATTCAGTCATTATAGTCCTTGGATCCTAAACAGAAAATTGCCGCATATTGTCTATCTCCAGAAAATCTTTCACTTACTTATCTTGTGTAGAGTTACTGCGTTTTGTTGAACCTTGGCAGCAGCAATTCAATATTTCTTGTGAACTGTTGATTTCCTGTCAATTAGTTCATTAAAACCACAAAAGCTGTATTTAAATTACCAGCAAGACCCCTGTCTCCTTCAGGGAATGATATATTCACAGATATACTTCTTCAGGCTGCGGCATACCTCATCATACCACTTCCCCTGAGCAGTCAGGGAAAGAGCAACACAGCTCTCTCTTTTTGTCCCCGTCGGCTGCTTCTTGGAACGATCCCAGTTGAAGAAGCTGACTGGCATGCTGTTGACGTCAACGTACTGGCCTTCCTTCACTATGTCTGCCACACCGATCCAGAAGTCCCTGATTCCTGGGGTGCTTCTCTTTGCGTAGTCCCTCACCTCATTGTTCTCCATCATATCTCGTGGTGTCGCAAGGGTTCCTCCCTGAGCGATGCAGTCTTCGTTTGCCTCATGGTAATGTTTGGGCTCCTCATTTAGAAGATAGCACTTCCTGTGTGCTTTGATCCCCCGAAGACACACTGAAAACAGAAATAAGTTGCTGTAGAAGTGCAGCTAATTGCGATGTGAATATATTTAACAAAATAAAGCTGTTGCAATGTCTAATCTGCAATATCAGTAACATTTCCAAATTATCTGAACGAAATGTTATTCACATCAGATATGAAGTTGGATATTGACTTTATGATTTAATAAATTTTGTATGTTCTGCTGCCCTCTACTGGTGACAGAGAACACCAAGAACTTTACTTTTGTGCTAATCATCTTGTGTCAGAGAAATATTAGGTAGCAATAAGCAGATTATACATGCAAGGTACTCATTTATTGAAAATACATAATTCTGAAAGCAGCTATTGATTTTTAGCCATCTCATCTGTCAAGAAGGCATTTTGTGAGAGCATTACCTGTCTGCAACGCTTGCATCTCTTTCAGTAAGTTCACCTCCTGCCATAACTTCTCAATCTGGGCTTTCACATCCTCATCCTCTGCAGCTGCACGTAGAAAACCAAACAAAACAAAACAAACACTTCAGACAAACACTGATGCAGACAACATCTTTTACAAAAGCTGTCACATGAACATCTACCTCCAGACTGCCGGGGTGAAACAGCTTTCCTTGTGCGAGATGGACGGCTGCAGCAGAGCAAGGAGAAACTCAGTGCAAGGAAGACAGGCAGGACCAGATGAGCCATGTCTGAGGCCAGGGGAACCGAGAGTACAGGACTCTGGGGCACAACCTGTGGTACAGCGAAGGGAACTAAACATCCCACAGGCAGGTTAATATAGTGGCCCTCTGTCTGCCTCTCTGGGTTCTCTCTCTGCATTGGCTCCAGTGCTGTTTGTTTTTGTCAAAACATCATGAGGAGGAGAGGGTGGTGTCAAAGAATGATTTCCTTGTGTCTAGTTTTATTTTTAGATAAATATTTACTTGGAACAAGGTGCTCTAAGCAGCATTTTGCAAACTAAACAGACATTTATTGAACCGCTTCACTGTTACAGTGTCCCCCCATTTCTCTTAGCCCTGGACAGACTTAGCAGTATCTCAGTCTGGAATGAAAGGGAGTTTTTTTTTTCTTTCTTTTAAATCTTTCTTCAAAGTCAGAAGTTTACATACAGTTCCTTAGTATTTGTTAGCCTTAAAAGTGTTTGATGAGAGTAAAATGTTTTGGGCATCATTCAAAACTTCACATCGTTTTGCTGGGATTTTGGCCCATTCCTCTAACGGATGTTTGTAGGCCTCATTACTCGTACACAGCTTCAGTTCTGCCCACAAATCTTCTTTGGAACTGAGATGAGTGCTTTCTGATCCAAAACATTTACTTTGTTTTTGAAACTAACGGCCAAAATGCAAATTTTGTTTATTTAATACTTAGCTAGTAAGAAATAATACATATAGATTATGATTCTGTAGTTGATTCTGTTGGAATTCAATTGTACTTTTTTTTTTAAATCCTCACTCTTCTGCTATAAATGTGTATGTTCGTGTTGAAGTTATTATTCCTTCTGAAAATACAAACAATGTGAAAATAAGGAGTTTTATAAAAAGATATACCACGTTTGCAGTTTTTATGAAAAATGCAAAAAAGGTCCAAACGCAATCATGTTATGCTTTGTAGATATATTTATTCAAGTAAACAGAGCTGTGCTCAAAGAAAATACACAAAAACTGTGACAAAAATATACGACCATTGTTTAGAAAGAATGCTATAAATACACTACAGTGCTGAAAGCATTTACAGGGAAATACAATAACACACACATACACACACACAAACCTATCCTGTCATTCACAAACACTCTCATTCACATAGACGTGACATTAAAGGCAGCAAAATTTTTTAGATCTTTTCCTAGTTGAAAAATCTAAAGGATGTAATCACTTCAACTGTGAACTAGTTTCAAACTATGTTTTCATACAATTTCTAGAAATTGTATGAATACGTCTAGAGTTGCAGAACTCATTACTTTGATTTTGTTGCAAAGCTGATACATTTAAAATGCACTGAAGAGTTTGACTTTTTTTTTTAAAAGCTGAGAAAATCTGGTCTGTTTTAAAACGAAGCATCATTTAGACAACCCACTCGTTTGAAAATACAGTGCGATGCAGAGCTGCTTAAAAAGGATAATAAAATATGTTTTTGGTTTTTTTTACTGTAGAAACTAAAACGAGGACGCTCCCCTGAACAGGTGAGGAAGGATTATGAACAACTTGTAGATCGCTTCTTATACCGTAGTAATATAATGCACAGTGCTGATCAAACTTGCATTAGCTTTCACAATAAAAATAGTTAATCTCTAAGTATTATGGCACTTTTGTTGTGAGGCACCAAACAGTAAACAACGTTGGTCAGACAAGGAGAGCAGAGGCTCCACAGCCCTTCGACTCCAGTCTGACTAGCTACTTCATAAAAATCCAGGGTCAGTAAATATCGCTCTCTCTGCAAGATAAATATGTGTGACACTAAACCTTAAGGTGTCAAATCTGTTTCAATAATAAGGGTAACACTCTGTCAAGTTTCGTATTTTAGTCACGTAATTTTGGAATCAACCAGCACACTGCGCAAACAGAAAAACATTATCTTCCAAAAAAATCATCAAATCATTATACAAATCTGAAAAATTTATGCCATTTTTTTTTTTAGTTCAAATAAAATACATTTGTTTGTGATACATTTCCTCACCTGTGGACTTACTAAAGACACTAATTTGTAGCTCAAAGGCACTGGTGCTCCTTTAATATATGAAGGATGGCTCATCAGGTAAAAACTATTGTGCAAATCAGACTTTCCTGTTGGCACTTTACTTTTATAAGGAAAGGATATACAGTGGGTTTCAAAAGTGTGTATGGTCTATTTAAAAAGGTGAGGCTTTTGGAATGTAAAACATGTACATTTTAACTAACACAGAAACATAGGTTAGGGAGAACATGTACAAAACAAAACAAACTAAAACACCACCAAAAAAAAAAAAAAAAAAAACATTTGCAAACCTTGTGTCTGCACCCTGAAACTGCAATATTTTTGAAGCACCTTTTTAATTAAAGATCAAGATAACATCTTGAGTTAATGCCTCCAATCAGCTGATTAGTCTAAGAAGAGTTAATTTGTCCTGGTAGGATTTCCCTCACATTTGCGTCCTTTTAGTTAAACATTTATAAAGAAATCCACTAAGAAATTGTACCAGTTAGAAGGAGGATGCCATTTATAAGCATTCTATAATATGTCACAGTAAACACATGACTGGACAAATTTCTGGGCAACAATTTCAGTACTAAAACTTTGCGTTTGGCCACATTTTGAAAAAATCATGTCTGGTACAAAAACAGCTGACCACTGTAAAACAAGGAGGTGACGAGATCATTCTCTGGACTAACTTTTCTTCACAACAAATTGGAGTTTGTCAGGGTGAAGGAAATTGTTGGACAGGTCTGAAAACCAGTCACTTTGGACTAAAAAGTGAAATCTGAAGATGAACCAGGGTTTTGTTCTTCAGTAGCACAATAAGACCAGGAATACATCCAAGTTAACAAAAGACTAGCTACATCTTAAGAAAATCAAAGTTTTGCAATAGTCTGGAACCAAACGTGCAGGGAAATCTTTTAGGCTATTTAAGGAAGGCTGTGGACAACAGATGTCCTCACAGTCTGATTGATTTTGATAGTTTTTCAGGGCAATATTGCTAGATCAAGAAGTAGGGTGATGATGGACTCCTACCAAAAACAACTAAAAGTGTAAAATAAAAATTAAGAAGCTCTTCCACTAAATGTTTGTGGGTGTAGATTTACCCAATCAAATTATTGATTATTGTAGTGGTTTTATATATATATATATATATATATATATATATATATATATATATATATATATATATATATATATATATATATATTTTTTTTTTTATTTTTTTATTTTTTTTTTTTATTTTTTTTATTTTATTTTTTTTTTCCCCTGACAGATTTGCTTTTATCCCAGTTAAAATAAGCAGGAAATATGGAGGAAGTATCGGAATGATTCATCATGGTCTCATAACTTGTTGCAAAAACTTGGACTTTAAACAGGGATGTCTGCTTACATCCCTGTGCATCATTGGTCAGTATTAAGACACTAAGATAAATTGTCATATTTTTCAGTTCTTTGATCAACTTCAAATTGTTTCATTGTTAACAAAAATGCTGTGCTAAGCATCGATATGACTGCTTCAGTGAGTTTGCATGCTTTCCCAAACTTGCTGATTTAGAGTACTGTTGGCAGATAATTTATAATTTATAAAACGCACAGAAATACTGACATTACATCAATATAGAGTAAGTTACAGTAGTAGAATTGCTCCAAAGACAAACAGGTCATATTTCTTCTTTTCCAAATCTACCAACAAGTAATAGGTAACAGAGAGAAAAGCACAAAGACATCCACACATTTATGCATACATGCACACAGAACATGCAGACATATATACACACTGGTTGGGTTCCTCTGTGGTGAATCTATGCAGTCCGTAGGTGAGCAGTACCGGCTCTCATCGACTCTAATGAATGAAAGGCATACGCTCCTTGCTGTCATTATCTCCTTCGGGCTCCTCCTCTTCCTCTCCTGCTTCACTGGTCTCTGTGCTGTCGTTGGCCATCTAGTGGTAAAATAGTAATGTTGAGCAGAGATAAACAGATGTTAGATGACATCAAATGGCTTACACATCTGCTCTCTAATAAAGGTCTGTTTCTTAAATTAAATAAGAGGTACTGTAAAATATGATAAAATCCTATTCACCTTTCTCTGACACTTTGCTAAGCTTTTGACACAGATATCAGAAACATTAAAACAATACACAATTTATGAAAAAACGTTCATCAAATGTCTAATTAAAACTGGAAGAATGCCTTTTGGCAACAACCTTGTTTGGTTATTTCAAATGCCTTTATGGTTGTGTACTCAAAATAAATAAATACAATTGTGTCACTGTTTAGTACACAAGTACACACTATTTATAATATTATAAATAACCATTTGGCAACTACGCAGCCATTTGCTAAGTTCCGGTGTATAGTGTTGACTCTCTTCACCCGGCCTTTTGCTGTGTTTTACATCCTGTGTGAGGTTATTGCTATTTTCGTCATCTGTTCTCTTCTCAATTCTTTTCTTACCAAAGGGGTCGGAGACTTCTCAACATCCAGAATAAGTTTTCCAATGTTGCCTCTGTCATGAATTCTCTGCATAGCCTCTTTCACCTAAACACAAACACATTTTTTTATTAATTACATTTTAGGCTTCTCTTTACATGTAACAAAATATCATAACTGAAGATATACCACAGTTTCAAATAAATATGGTTCCCAAGTCATAAAATTTCCATTGAAAATTATGTAAATGCCTGAGAAAAGACTTGTTTTAACTCTCTGACACTTATTTCCTGCAGCCATTTTTTCTGCCCAGGCTACGTCTAGTGCATGTTTCTATAGTAGAGATCTGAAACTGGGCTGTTTATGTTGATTGCATCCTCTGACGTTGAGCAGCTTCTCCTCCTGCAAGAGTGCTGCTGTAACTTGGTGACACAGATCTCCACCCACTGCAGCAATAGAGACTAAAAACTGAGAAATCAGACTAATACAGCATCGATCTCCAATGTCACTGCAGCTACGATTGAAAGCCACTGACTGACTCTCCAAACTGTGTTAAAATATTTAAATAAAATAGATTTTGAAATGAACTAAGCCTATTTGAACTGTAAGAGATAGGAAAATAGATCAGAGGAGGATTACGATCTACCATCTAAAGTATATTAATTGATATTTATTGTGATCAAGCTCTGAAACTGAGTCAAAACCAGTATCAACTCAGAAGAAAATTTGTAATGATGCCCAAGTCTTTAATAGTTAAATTATGATATGACTCATAAACAGGCAACTGCAGCAGGTACTACTGCTGCATGTCTGCTCCATGCAAAGGTAAAAACAGTCAGTGATCAACAATCCTGGACAGTTGTCACTTTAATCTGAATAGGGGAACACAAAGAATGTAAAATATTTTTAGCTGTATTGGATAAAATGCTTTAAAAATCCTGAAGCTGGAATTATGCGACTCCTGTATATGTCCTCTAACTTTTCTGAATTTTATCGATGTATTTGGGTGTCCAGGTTTAAATTCTGTCTGTGTAAATGAAAATACATCTTGTTATTTTGGTTGATATAATCTTATAGTGATCACTTTTTTGTTTTTTCCAACACTTGTGTTTGACTCGGTAGTGTAACTAATTGCAATTCCAACTAAGCCAAGCTCCCACAGGTATATATGTGGATATGTTGAAAACTTCCCCAGCGTGAACAGACAGCAACACTGAAAGAGCTAAAGAAATTCCAACAAGCACAGATTGTGCTCCACATGTGAGAACAATCTGTGGTTTCCTCCGTAGGCTGCAAAACAGAAATTCTTTCTTCCACAAAAGCATTCAACCATCAGTATGATCTCTCAGAATCGTTAATGATAATCTTAACAAATTTTGCCACAAAAAAAAACAGTACTGCACATCACATCAAAAACAAAGTGCCCACAGAGGAAGATGGTGGTGGCAGCATCAGGCTCTAGAGTTACATTTCTGAAGATGGAAAAAATAGTCATGTTTTCGTAAAGGTATGATGATAGTTTTGGGAGCGTTCTCGTTCACTAACCATGGTACATTTTAAAAATCGCGTCCCACAAGTGAACATGGTCTCATGCAGCCATCAAAATGCAATTCTTATCAAACTACTGTCTAATTAATCTATAGGGGGGTTTTTGTGTCTGGGCAGTGATAAGCTCATTATTTTGGTTGTCCATCAGATGCTCAATCAACTGCCTCTAATACTCTGCAACACTCATGATGACATCACTTAAGCCCTCTGGTGCCTGCTTGGTTTCTTGTATATAAAATTGTTTTCACCAAACCTTTTGGGTGCTTTACTTGCTGTCAACGAATACATTTGATAACAGCACAAAGAAGAAAATTGTTTCAAGTATTAACTCATACCAGGCACTGAAAATAGCATTTCATATTTTAACTTTATAAAAATTTTAGATGAATAAAAGTTTAACCCTGAAAATAATGGAGCGTGGGTACTAAGTGTTTTCCTATGCCTAAATGAATTGTTCAGGGTAAAAAGTTCACATGTAGGAAGTTATAAAGCAGAAAAAAAAAGAAGAAAATTGATGCATTTTTTTCATTTTACTCTGATGAGTCCGCCAACAGTCTCTGCATCAAAAACACATCTAACTTGTCAAAGCAGCACACAGTTTAACCTCATTGGAGGACATATCTTGTTTTCTCATTATAGTTACACACCCACAACTGAATGTGTGGCTCTTTGTCTGCAGCCACTGTGCCACAAATTTTCCGTGGTTAAATGGAAAAGCAACAACCAAGCCAGGGGCAAAATTAGGTTGGAAATGTTTCCCTCCTTTTCTGCTTGGCAGCTGCTTTTCTCAGGAAAAGGAACAAACACCATGAGATTTTAGGACTTTTGTGACTGGGCAATTATAAACTGATTCAATTTTATTGTTTTTTTGTTTGTTTGTTTTATTTTATTTTTTTTTATTAGAATTTATTTTTTCTGAAGACCAGACGAGAGAATTAGAAACACTTAGATATATTCTGAGGAAAACCCCTCTCTGAGTTGACCCACTCAAATGCGTCCTGCTCAGTGTTTGAGTCAGGAAAGAAAGGTTACCATGGTCAACATGTAAACTAATGTCCAATTAATTGTTCTTCCACCCATTCTAACAAGTGAAGCCTGACACAACATCCCACGCTATCCAGCCCTCTAATGAAATTCTTCATGGACAATGGTTACAGTGAATGGCCTGAGCTGTTTGCCAGTGTTTAATGACAACACTACATTATACGTTTCCCATGAGAGAAAAACAAAAAACAAAAAAAACAAAAAAAAACATGATGACACAGACAACTCATCAATGCCGTTTGACCAGCGATACAAAGATCAGAGCCTCAGGTTCTTACCTCCTCCAGCGCCCACAGCGAGTCCACGACAGGCCTGATCTTCTTCTGTTCGTATAGAATCAAGAGTTTGTCCATTGCTGATTTTACGAGATTACATCCTCCTTGTTTGAAGAGAAGGTTGAGGAGGGAGAATCCCGCTATGACTTTGTTCTCCTCATAAAGTTTAACTGGATTCACCTTTTCCACCTGCCACCACTAAGGAATAAAATAGAACAGAAGAACCAGAAAATACTTATTTATACACAATATATGCTCAATATTGATTTGGACAAATATATCTATATAATGATGTTTCTTTACAATATGGATGCGTTGTGTCTCAGACTCACAGATTTTGCAAAGCTGAAGAAGCTCTTTGTTTCCCCAGTTACCATATTTGACGCACCTGTAAAAACCAGAATAAAGTGTTTCAGTATGCTGGACAGCGGTCAGCAACAGGCAATTTTGATCCCTGTCAGCGGTGAGGCGGGGGAGACCTTTAGGTCAGTGAAAACATGCCTTTACATGTTCAGAAAAAGTTAATGAATCTCCTAATGATTAAGCTGAATTCATGAGCCCTCACAGGAACTAAAGGACCTCTGTATCAGTTAACACAGACAATTAATCACATTTGAAGATTAAAGAGTACATGAAGCCAGTATTACTGCTGTACACATTAATCACTCCAAAATATGCAAGATGATTATAATGAAAAACATAAAAAAATCTGATAAAAACATCACATTAGGTTCCTCTCATTATGAAAATGATAGATTATCAGTGTAGCTCATCTTGATGGAAACAAAATTCACCAGAAAAATATCTCTAAGCGTTTTTCAGTTGACGTC